CAGCAGCTCGGCAGGCAGCCTGGCTGCGGAAAGAGCCTGCCAACACCCGCCCCGCCCCACTGCCCACTAGCCCTCTGGGGCCCTTGCTGGTCTCGCACATTCCTGGCCGTGGCCTCACAGCACACCCCTGAGGCAGCAGGAGCGAGGCCCTGAGATGGGACCTGGACACTCATCGTCCCAGAGGACATTTGCTTTAAAGGCCAGTCAGGCAGCAGGGACAGCTACGCCATCGCGAGGGCCACAGTGACGGCGGCCATGCCTCAGCACCCGATAGGCTGTCCTCACTGCGAGCTCTTTAGCTTCTCTCGTGACTTTCTAGAAGTAAAGGGCTCCTCTTTTCCTTTTCCAACCCAGAAAAGACAAACCTGAGCTCTTGAACCCAAGCTGGGCTCAGGTCAGGCGGCCACGGGGAGGCCCTAAGGAGCTTGCCTCTGGACTCAGAGCCCGCACCAGCAGGCGTCCGGCACAGAGAGCGGCCTGCGCGAGCCCAGTCATGGCGGCTGGGCCCAGCCCCTTTGTGCTGAGGGACCACGGCCAGCCGCACTGCCTGCTGCCTCACGCCTGCCTTCTGCCGGACTCAATAACCACACATCCAGCTCCTTTGTAGAAGCAGGAGTTCGTATGGGACCCGTTTCTAACACCACCAACAGCTGAGTGTGAACATCACAGTGGGGCAGGGCCCCTGGAAACCGTCCGTGCCGATCAGCACGATCAGAGGCACAGACAGAGACAGATGAGGCTGGCCTCCTGTCAGGGTGACCACCTCCTGCCCTGGTGCCCAGGGGGCCCGTGGGAGTCTGGGAGCCCACATCCGGGCACCCGCGGAGCAGGGTGGGATGGGGCAGGGCGAACACCCGCGGGCTAGGCAGCTCTTACCCAGCATAAGCAGCACCTTCTGAAGCTCTCCCTGCCTGGCCGAGAAGTACAGCTGCTTCGGGTGGAAGCGAAGCTTCTTGGGTCTGCGGGAGACACGGTGGCGGTCAGGAGGGCCTGCCTCCCAGGCCCTCAGAGCTGGCCAGAGCACCAGGGCTGCCCACCGGCGGCTCTTCAAGGTCAAAGCACCAAACGTAAGTCCCTCCTGGCTCACTGCTGCATAGAAGGAGGCTCCGGGCTGTCTAGCTCCTTCTCCCAAAAACTAAGCTCCCACTGGGAGGGGTGGAATCTGACAGCCGGCAACCAGTAAGGGGCAGGACGGGGATGCTGCTGGAGCTGGGCAGGTCAGAGGCCGTGGGGAGGCCACCATCCAGGCTGTGTGGGGTTTAGAGACAGCCGCGCCTTTCTAATAAGGACGAGTGGTACCTTCCCTCCCGGGAGACAGGCATGCTTGGCATGGTGGCTTGTGCTACCTCCCCAGGGAGGACTATGCTGTCCGGAGAGGACGGGGAGCTGTAGCCTCTGAGGGCTGGCAGGGAGGCCTCGGGCTCAGTCAGGAGGCCTCTGCATCTGTCTGAATGACTGAGGGAGCTCCAGGTTTGACAGAACCCGAGGGAAATGTCTATGAAACCTCACGGGACCACAGAGGGACAGTGAGTCCAGCCGTCTCCCACAGGGACCCCCTGGGCCGTCCCATGAGCAGCGCCAACCTGCCTGCTCACGTGCACCGCAGTACCCCTGTGGGGTGGGCCTGGGTCCCACTGAACACGCCGCCGAGGCTTACTTCTCTGAGTCCAGCGCAATCAGGGCGCTCTCCAGGGTCTCCTTCCCTGGCGCCTGGGAGAGGCCAGTGGTTGGCCGGCCAAGCCCTGCTGGCCCGGTCAGGTCGAAGCCCTCGGGCACCTGGGGCGCTGCGCTCTGTGGCCTGTCGTCCTCCGAAAGCGGTGGTCCAGCGGCGCTTCAGAGGAAGGAACAGTGAGCGCCGGGTCAGGGTCTGCGCACTCTGTTTCACCAACGCACACGACACAAGCCCCCTGCCCTGAACTGGGACGCTGTCATGCCAGCTCTTCGTCAGCCCCTGGGAGAAGCGGCTCAGGACTCAGAAGTGAGGTCCCTGAGCTACGTGGTACTCAAAGACCAGAACAAGCTCCCTGGGACCTGTGGGCCACGCTCCTGACTGAGCTTCCAGCGGACTCTAGCATGCCTGCTGTGCTCCCCTACCAGAGGAAACCCCACTGGGAATCGTATACAAGCACATGAGGCTTAGAGTAACTCGAAGCACCAGAACTTCCCGTCCCTGGGGCAGGAGGGGACACCCGTGAGTGCCCTTCTCTGCCTCGCGGGCTGCTGCTCTGGAAGGACCGCTCGTTTTATTCTCTAGCAGGAAACTTGCTGGCAGGAGCAAGCTAGCTGACTTCTGCGTCTGCCTTGTCTGACCCTCCCCGAGTTCCTTCCAGCTCTAAGGTCCCTTCAGCTGTCCCTGCCGGACCACCTGGAGCACAACCCAGCAGTACCTCTCCCGCCCGCAGCTCTGAGCCCCCAGCAGGAGCTAACGTTTTGGGTGTACAAGCAGCTGCCCACAGAGGGTCATGCTAGCGACAGAAACAGGCAAATGGACCCATCAACTAAACTCCAAGGGACCCGGGGCGAAGGCAAGGGCAGGCGGACATGGAGCGGCCGCGGGTGCAGCCAGGGACTGAGCTTCCAGGTGAGCCGCGGAGAGCGGCCGGAGCCCGGCGGTACCTGCCCGTGGTCGTGTCCGCCCTGCCCTCGGCGGCCAGACTCGTCTCCTGTGCGGGGGCTGGCGTCACCGTGGAGGTTGTGTCTGCCTTTGCTATCGTCACCTCTCTGGCCTTGGAGGTCTCCTCCCCGCAGTGGGGGCAGTAGCTGGCGTTGCTGGCCCGAGAGGCACAGTCCTTGTGGAAACGGTGAGAGATGCCGCTCTCAGGCTGACACTCCATGAAATCGCCCTGCAAACGGGATTTGGGAATCAGCGGGAAACCAGGACCGTATTCGGGTAGGCAGCACCCTGCTCAACTGGGCTGGCTGCACGGGTGAGGCAATGGGGCCGTCCTGGCTGCCCACACGCCAGGGAGAAAAAAGAACGGAGTAGGAAGTTTGGCAGAGCGCTCCCACACACCCTTATCTCAGAGCGAGCTGCCGCTGGCAGAGGCCGCCTGATGGCCTGCCTCTGATCACAGTCTGGGGCTGCACTCCAGGGCCGCCCTCGCGAGCGCCAGGCGGGAAGAGGCGCAGAGCTACCGTTCCGAGAGGGAAGGTGGGCAGTGCGGGGCCCAGGAATGGCCTGCTCTAAGGGTCTGGGGTCAGACTGCAGCGATGGAGCTCAGATGGGGCTGAGGGGCTGGAGCCAAGTGTCATCCTGGCTGCCGGGTGGACCCGGGAGGGGCGGCACGCTCTCCCAGAAAGCTAAGACCAGTGGTGCAGACACACAGCTTCTCTCTTTTTTAGTAGAAGCAAAAACAGGCTATTTTCAGACAGGGAAGGGCAGAGAAATCCACACGCACGCTCCCACGGTTGGAGTTCTTGGCCCAGCTCCACCAAGGGGCCGCTGGTGCCTGCGGGCGCCTGCAGCTGCAGGCAAAGGGAAGCACAGGCCTGTGGCTCTCCCATGTGACACGCCTGGAGAAGTCGCCTTCGTGGCCGAGTGTGATGTGTGACAGACGGAGCAGCTGGTGACCCATGGCCCCACGAAAACCATGAGGGCAGGAGGCTGAGATGCACCCAAGAAGGTGCGCCCCGCTCAGCAGACGGGGGCTCACGGCTGCACACAGGCCCGGGACCCAGGGCACCGGAGGCCAGACGGAGGCGCATCAGGGTGGCCTGAGAGTAGCAGCGAGGCCTGGGCGGGCGGGGCTCTTACCGCCGTGCAGAAGCAGCCG